AGCAAACTGAATTTGTAGAAGGAAGAAGAGTAAAAATTGAGAAAAGAGGCATACGTCTTATGGAAACGCCCTTCCTAAGCGCTTTTCATGATGAAAGCTGGAAAAATAACAATTATATTTGCTTGTCAGTTCTGAAGTACTAGTTGCGGTTTCTGTTTTTCTCAGCTTGGATAATGACAAGTTAGTTGCACTTTCCGATAATCCTGCTGTGGCAATATTTGGGTTGAAAACCTAGCAGATGAAAGTGAGACCTTCAGCTGATCTTTAATTGCTACATACTTCTCATTTAGCCAGTGAAATGAGCTGTGTTTAAGAAATAAACACCCTAAATGGGGTCAAATTACATTTTTCGTTTGTTCTTGTTGTTTTAAGTCCTCAACTCCTGTGGAGCTCTTTTTCTCACCCCTCTAAACAGAAGATCTTTTCTTTCACTTCTGATCTGCCTTTTGGCTGGGGTATCACAGATAAAGGGGTCTGTGCTGGTGCTAGCAGCCTAATAGCAGTGGCTGGACATTTATGAATGCTCATGGGACGCTGCTGTAATAGACTGTGTCTAGAATCATAAACAGCAGAAGAGACCATTTGTGGTAATTGCTGCTCTGCTTGAGATATGTTGATACTGGTGGAAAAAAATGTTGCCTAAAATAGCAGGTTTACACAACAGAGCACTGGAAGCGCAGAGAAATTTTACATGTTGCTGCGCTCAGCTAAAGCCCTGAGATTCTGAGCAAAACCAGCTCTGTTACTTCCAGATTGTAGCTTCCTACATACAAAACAGTTCAAACATCTTTACCTTTCACTTACAGTTCCTGGACTGGCCAATTAAGCCAGTTTACGAGCACTTAACCACAGGATACAAAAGCATCCCAAAGTAGTGCTGTATCCCAGGAAAGCAGCTCGCCTGCTATTGCAACCCCTTGTATGTTTACTGGCACCCTTACGGTTTCAGATCCTGGTCGATCAAGATGTCATATCCATAGAGCTCAAAGCAATGTTTGTCACTGATAATCACTTTCTGAACGCTCTGAAGGCTCTTGATGAAAATGTTGTCCATATCTGCAAAGAGAACTTCCACCACGTCTGCTCCATGCTTGGCAGTCAGGTACTGTCTGAGCTGCTGAATCATCCACTTGCAGCCCTGAGACATCCAAACACAATTAACACTAAACTGTTCCCAGCAGATGGCAATGCCTTCAGTCTGCTAAAATTCACCACCCTCTCGACAGCCAAACAAAAATTCCTAGTAAAAAAACAGGCATCAAAAGGTAGGGCCACTAATCCCCCAGCGCAGTTAACATCTTTGAGCTCTATTACTGTGTGGCACTGGAAGAAAATGTGAAGGTTCCACCAGAAGTTACCTACCAGCAGCCATGTCATCTACTATGAATGTATTGCAGAGACACTCCTTTCCATGGAGGAGAGAGATTTATAGATAGGAGCAGCCTGTAAAATGGGAAGGTTGTCACAGTCCTCTATGACTATCAAATGTTGACTTTTGCCTCAGATTCACTAAGATTCTGACATCATTTTTTTTTTCTCTTTCAGCTGCTCCCTCTTGAGACAGGAAGCTTAACAGGGACAGCTGTGTGTGGACACATTCAGCTTGTTGCACCGCTGTGGTCTTAGAAGCGCAGGGCGCAGGGCTAAGCAATAAGGTAGCTACGTCTCAGATGAGCACTAACCAGAAAGTTATTGTGCTTGAAGTCAGAAAGGTCACCCTCCTAGATGGGCTGACAGCTGTAAAGCAACCGTTACAGCAGAACTCGCCTACTCGCTCTCTCGTAAAGCTTCTATCAAAGAAATCACATTTATGGGTATCTGGAGACAGGACAGAGTGGCTGCCATCCCGGCACGGCAGCTGGCACGATGAGGTCAGGCTGCTCCATCTGCCAGGAGCCGAGCGGCAGGCACAGAGGGAAGAGCCCCGGCGGCGCCCCTCACTCACCTTCTCTGGGTCGTAGTCAGGGGCTGTCTTCTGCACCGCGACGTTGGTGAGATGAACATCTGGTGAGACGCCGAGATAAGGACCAGGGACAGAAAATGAACGAGCACGTGTTGAATTATTGCTCTAAATCATCCTTTTCTGCCCCGATGCCGATTAATTATCCTCCCTGTCTCTAATCGCAGGCTTCAGCCACCCAGTCTTACATTCAATACCACATGAAGATAGCTTGATCAAAATTACAGGAAAATGAACAAGTCAAAGTAATGAAGAAAAGGTATCTAGAAAAAAAAAAAAAAAAAAGAATATATGTCTGTCCTGAGCTACTTCTGTCTGTGCACCTCTATCCAAGAACGCTCACTGTACCGCTCTGCAATGGCTCAGAGTGAGGATGAACTCTGCTGAACTATCACTGAGAGAAGCGGCGGGATTTTCTGGCTCTTAAACTGTCAGATTAAGGTGTGATGCCTTTTAGGAGGCCATTTTAATCAACTAAAATCTATCAAACTCAATAGAGTAGCACGTGTGACACATACAAAGATTGAATAGTTCTTTTCAATGAATCATTCTGTTCTTAATTTCTATGAAGTGAAGAAAGGCTGCAAAAATTCAGCCATTAATAATAAAACCAGAACTGACATTTTGCCACTGGTCCTAGTGGATTTTTCATACTGACATTTCTAGTCATTTGTTGAGCATTCTTCCTATGAAAAGAGATATGAGAGAATCATAGCGGCAGCAACAGGACAGGGGGATCATACAGAGGTTGGGAGAAATCAGAAGCAATAAGATAGATCCAACCCCAAAGATTAAAATGGTAAATCCCTTTTCTTACCCCTCTTTATTGCATAAGCAGACAGGTAGGATACAATGATCATCGATGCTGTTCAGAGTAAATCGTGTGTTAGAGAAGCGAGCAAATCCATCTCTGTACAGCCAGGCCTTCAGTGGGATGTACTGAGAGCAGGAGAACAGCAACCAAGCATTGAGGCAAGAAAATAACAGTTCTGGCATAATAATCACAAAATTGTGTTTTGCACTTACGGATGTCACTAGAATGTAAACTCTTAAGTCAAACTTCCGACCTGTGAAACACAGAAATATAAAATACGATACAGTAGTTGATTCTGCCAAGTAATATTAGCAGTATCCAATATGAGAAATGTGTCTATAAATGCAGAAGTAAATGATTCTAATCACATTTTTTTCACTTTGGGAGAAAATATGTGAATATTTATCTAATCTTTAAAAAAGTGAAGATTAGATACTTACGTTTCTGGAAAAAAATAATGCAAGGTTTGAGTTAGTATTCCTCTGAATTATTTTGATGAATACCTGGGCATAAACACTAATGAATTAATGATTAATTTAAGAGAAATAGTGTGCGATTTTTGTTTTTAAAAACATGGAATAGTTGAGGTTGGAAGGGACCTCTGGAGATCAGCTAATAGAAGTCCCCTGCTCAAAGCAGGCTCAGCTAGAGCAGGTTAGGACCAACCAAGGCCAGTCATGTTTTGAGAAGGTAACTTCTATAATTTTTCCTCTCAGCAAACCACAAAGCTACCATGCTATAGAGCATGACACTGCACTTTACTCTCAGGTACATTTAGGCCCATAAGCAATTTGGAGAAAATAAGTCCCGATTCTCCACACAGATCTATGAGCACCTATTTTTCCAACAGGAACATCATCTACTAGGACGTAGCTTTCCACGTATCAGAAAAGCATAGTCTTAGCTGAGCATCTTACCTCCTATTAAATACGGATTTTCAATATATCGCTGTGCTACATAAATCTCTACTTGTGTTTCATCTTTCTGATCATCTGTGCGGAGCCCATCCTGCAAAAGAAACCACACACAATTTCCCCTTTAGGGCTGTATATGAAAAGAAGGTGAAAACCCCATAGGTTTCCTGAAGCCCATTTTCCATATAAGATGATAGATCCCAGAAGAAGTATCCACCCACTCGGAAAAGCCACTATAAGAAACTTTGTTGCTTCCCTAGAGAATTGTGAAGAAATAACTGCCTGAGACAGGCCCAGGGAGACAAAACAAGACACTAGCAGAAGCAGAGGCTTAAGTAATAGTGAAAGAGCAAAATTCCAGTCGGAATTTCCCAAAAGAACAGAGAGTAGTTCTCACCTTCCTCCATTCAATGATATCCTTGAGTTTCCGGAATAGAAAAATTCCTTTACCTTGTGACCTGCCAACCTGCAACACAGAAGAGTAAAGTTATTTACTTCAGTGTTTTCTTGCTATCACCCAGAATTTGAGTATAGAAGACCTGTATAACCTGATTCATCACAGGCTTGTATCCAAGCTTATTTATTTAAGGTTAAGGTGAGGAAGGGGGAATTAAGGATCCACAAACAGTTCTCTATTGCAAACAGCTCAGACTTGCAAGCATTAGAAATATCCCTGAAGGAAGGGGCAGAACATGCAGACAGCCTATGAGGAAACACCAGTAAGGCAACACTGCATTCCTGGGAATTTTGAAGTTACATTTTAAGTTTGTGCATGCATAGAAGAGCTTAATTGACCAGGAAAGGCATGAAAGATTCCAGAGGACAAGACCAACAGGAGCAGAACACCCTGAAGATGGCCTAGCCTGTACTGTACATTTAAAGTGGCTGAAGAGAAGCTCAGATGAATGGCCTGGGCAGAGGGACTCCGCAGAGCGCCTTCAGCCACCAACTGTTTCAGTTGTTACTATAATTTCAGTAATCACAGTCTTTTGTTTACTCATTTACTCTGTTCTGGTTATTCACAGTGTTAATTGAGGCTGTGGGCACAAAATCAGCTTAATGTAAGGTTTTTTGTTGCCAATTGACACGAGCTCGTTTGTAGAGCTGGGTGATCACTAGCTGTTCTCCTCCTGGCTGTCACTCACAGGTTAGAATGTGGAGTCACCTCCTGTCCTCTTCTCCCAGGCACACCCGTCCTGACGAGCCTGGGAGCAGAGCAGGGCTAATTGTCCTGCCCCAGAGTCCTTGCCAGAGCTTCTGTGCAAGACGGAGCGCCTGTCCTCGCGCAGGTCTCACAGAGGGGTGCATTTTTAATTGCACACTGCAGCACAATGTTGGTGACGTTAAATGTCCCGAATCAGCTGGCAGCAGCAAGGCATTTCACAGCTTCACACAGTAATATCACCATTCCTAAAGGAAGCAAAATCCCTTCGCTCCCGGGACATTAGCCGAAGTGAAACTTACTGCATTCAGCCCATCCAGGTCTTGAGGGACAAATGAGATTTGGAACATGAGGCTAAACTTCAGGCCTCTAATACCGAGGCAGAGAGCAGATAATGCCAACCAAATCCCCCCAACTTGCACTTCAGGCTGCTCGTGGAGACTCTTGTAAGCTCTTCACAATCCCAGGATGAAAGGCAGCTTAGTAGGTTGGCTGGACTTGCTAGGGCTGCCACATAACATAGAGGGATTTCTTTAAAACCACCAGATGTTTCCACAGCTCCATCTTTAAGGACTCCCCAAGCATGCTGCTTTACTATTAAGTCCAATTAAGCAGCTGGTCTGCATACACACATGCTTTATTTCACAGATGCAGCTGAACTGAAAGGTTTTAGAGCATGAGCTTGGCCTTAAGCCCCAAGCACAAAGCCCTGGGAGCACAGTCTATTTCTTCACACACAAATTCAGCACTTTCCATTTTCACCATTGAGTTAACTTTGGCTTAAAAAATAAACAGAGCTACTTTTCCACTGCTGGAATAAACTGTTAGGCAAAATGAAGTATTTTTGTAGTACAAGTTGTGCAGGAAGCTGCCACGAGCATCACTGCTCCTAGCCACCTTGCTATGCACAATTCTTCCTGCAGATTTCCTGGATATCTTGCTCTCCCTCCAAAAATTGAAAGCATCCCTCATCTCTGTCTCACTTCCCCTGGGACAGCACCAAACTTACTGGTTTCATAATCCAAGTGGTGCCAGGATTCTTGCGAAACTCTTCCACAAACAAGTGATACTCTAAAGGCATTTCAAAAGTCTTTGGAAAAAAGTCACATTTTGTTGCCTCAAGCTTTCCTGCTTCTCTTTCCAGCTGCTTCCGAAACCGCTTCAGATTCTTCACTAGATAGTTCTTCCGAGTCAGCTGAGCAGAAAGAAACATAAGATTAGGCTCAGCAGATGCTCACGTCTTCTGAACCATCACCCTCTTCTCCCTTCAACTGCCCTTGAGATGTTTCTGTTGACATCTAGGAATCAACTGCATCCCAGATTCCTCAGAGGGGAAAAGAAGCCTACACATTTATATAGATACTGTTGAGAATTGGGGTCTTTTTCCCTCTTTGAGGAGAAGAATGTTTGATTTCTTCTTTTTCCCATTTTTATGTAACTCTTCAGTCTGCATACTAATTTCCAGAACAGACCCCAAGCATCGGGACCTGTCTGAGGGTGTTCGAGGCAGAGCTGCCCTGGAAGCCGTGACCCCCATGGCTGAGTGGAAAGGAATCAGCTCCTGAACTGCTGCAGGCTGCAGACAGGCAACACGAACCCCTGTCGGCCTTGGTTTCTGCCAGGAGGGCCGAGCACAAAGCTCAGGAACAGGCGCCCACCCTGCTCAGCTGCACGGGGGAAGTGGCATCCAGGAGAGCACCAGGCCAGACCCCTGAAACACTAAGATTTTTAGCTGTTACAACTACATCAGGCCACGAATACAAGTCAGACTCACCCAGGTACAGCCCTTTTGGAGGACAGGCTGTAAAGCAGCCACCCTCAAACATATTTAAAGGACAGGGCATATTTAAAGTGAGGTGCAACAGGTGCCTCCACCCTAACGCCCGGGATTTGTGGGTGCTACGTTAGGAAACGCAGCTTCACCCATAGAAGAGAGTGTCTGTTTTAACCGGACCCCCGAGGCGGCTGCTCCTCAGGTTTGCAGCGGGTCTGGGGGGCACCACGATGTCCCCAGCGTGGGGCAGAACACGGCATAGAGCCCCAGGCCAGCGGGACGGCGAGCGGGCACCGAGAGGGCCCCAGGCAGCCCCTTCCCACCGCAGCGCCGCGCGCCCACCTCGTAGTGGTTGCGGAAGTGGCAGACGCGCACGTGCTCGTCCAGGTACGCGTGGTCGAAGTGCTCGTGCAGCCAGCCCACGTCGCACCAGTGGAAGTCCCAGCGCTCCTCGCT